AAATATATGAACAAAATTTAGCCACCAGGGCCAGGCAATAAGAGTTTTTAATGCCAAAACTTCGCAGTTTTCCTGTGCAGGATTACAATACTTATACTTCTAAGTAATAGTGAGTAAGAAAAGAACCCCCCCCCCCAAAAAAAACACACACACACACACAATAAACTTGTTTGCTGCCCTAAAAAGTTATTTTGTTCTTACAGACTCAAATTAAAGTGGTAGATGGCTCTATTCATACAATTAAATGTTTAAAGAAACCAAATAAAAGATCTGTTGGATTTGGCAAGGATTCAGAAACTCACATTGTGTGGTAAGAACTTTTCTGGATTAATGATTTGTTACATTATTGGAAGGTGAAAAATTGATTATTTTCCAAACTAAACCTCTTGCCTGATGATATTTGTTCATCTTGCATTATATTAATTACCTTACATTAAAATATTTGCATTATATTATCAACTATTCTAAAAAATTGAGAGAAATTTTTATATACATGCTTACATTTTCTTTGTAAAATTTAATCGTAATATTTGTATTTTATTGTAAATTATGGATTAAATTCAATTTTCAATTTGTTTCTTTGACCAGGATTTAATGTATTTTCATTAATTTGTTAATCAGTATTATATATAATTTTCAGTGTTTCGAAGGATGTCGATCGTCTTTCGTTAGGTACAGAAGAAAGTCAAAAAAGGAAATGGAATAAAGATAAAATAAGAAACTTTCTGGAAACCTATCTAGCTGATAGCTGCCCTTACGATTTGATTTTTTGCCCAGAATTTTCAGAAACAGAAAAGTCCTGGATTCAGAAGTAAGTGTTGTGTGCATTAAGATAGAGTACTCTAGGAATAGAAGAATTTATTAATTTTATTTAATAATTTGTGTTCTTTTTATGGTTATAGGTTGGCTTCAAGTCTTCCTTTAAAAATAACAATGTACAATGTTTCCATGAAAGAGTACATGGTAATGAACAAAGAGCTATCAAGTATAGATTTGGCTAATGCAATATTAATGAGTGGTGGCAATGTATCTGCAGACTCAGCACAAGTTGAAAATATATTTGACCTTTGAGGTTGGTAGAAAATTATATCAGTGAGAATGAAAATAGACCTAGTTGATATCTTTTGAAAGCATTACAATATCCACGTTCGAAAGTTTACATCCACTCAAATTAAATTCACATGTATATCTATCTCTCTCTTCTGTGAGTAAGTCGGTGCAAGTATGTGTAAATTACAGTAAAAATTCTTACTCATTTAGCAGTATTCCCTTTATTAAATTAACAAATAAATAATCTCAGCTAAGAAATGTTCAATGAGCACCTCCACTGGTCATGTTTGGAACCATTATGTGATCACAATTTATTCCACAAATAAACACAAGCGCATTCACAAATGCATTAAGGAATCCTTGCAAACATGTTTGAAATGGAATTAAAGTGTCCAATTTGTAGTCAACATTGAAATTGAATGGTCCCCTTAAGTGAATGAATATTATTCATTAATAGCCCTTGAATGGATTGTTAAGTGAGCACTTATTCCTATAAGGGAGGTTGACTGCGCTCTTAAGTGACCCTTACGGTTGTTTTGTCAGCTATTACCAATTTAGGATATATTTTTACCAACTGTTGTTGCTGGTGTTTGTATTCATTTTGTGTCAGTAAAAATTTGTATTATTGAAACAATCAAATAGTAAAACATTTTATGGAAAATAATAAAGTCTTCATAAAATATATTGAGTTTTATACTCAATACATCATGCATAGTACAAAAAGGTGCAGTAGAGATGGGAACAATCAATTCGAAATGTACAATAATGAGCAGTTCCAAAAGTTTTAAATAGTTACTGTTTGAAGATTCAAGGAAAAAGTTTTCATCACAAAAACAAAAAAAATCCTTTCTGGGCAGTAATATAGAAACAAGTAGTGCTGTATTTAGTAAAAGAAGACAAG